GGTAAGAAGACTGTTTCAGAGATATTAACAACAAAAGAATTGACCAAAAAAATGACAAGTTGGTTGGAGAATTTGGAAGGTGTCAAAAAGCCAAACTGGCATAAAAGGGAAGGACAGAGAATTTCCTGTTACTGTTTGAAGGGGAAGATGATGAGCCTGGTTTTGAAATGTTAAGTTTCAGGTGTCAGAGAAGCGTTCACATAGAGATGTTCTGGAAGAAGCCTGGGACATGGTAACATCTGGCTCTGGCCATTCCCTATCTCACCAGGGTCGTTGTACTGCTGGGAGTTGCCCACAAATTTGCAAGGAAGATAAAGGATAATCAAAGACTCAACGCCTTTTCTTTTCCCAACGACCTCTTCTCAGGCTCCTGTTCCTTCTCACTCTGCCCACCATGATTCAGCTCAGGATTATCTCTATCTCACCAGGGTCATTGTGCTGCTGTGAGCCGCCCACAAATTTGCAAGGAAGATAAAGTATAATCAAAGACTCAATGCTTTTTCTTTTCCCAACGATCTCTTCTCAGGCTCCCCTTCCTTCTCACTCTGCCCACCATGATCCAGCTCAGGATTATGTTAAAGTTCTCCACAGCATGAAGGAAGTTAGAGGGCACGACTTAAAAAACCCATATATAACACACCAGCCACTATGATATCATACTAAGTAAGAGCTCAGACTCTGAAGGCAAACTCTGAGTCCCAGCTCTACAATGTAGTGGAGGCATGACCGTGGTCGTTTACGAGAAGTGTGAGCATTGCCAAGTTACTTATTCTCACCACGCCTCCGTTTTCTTCTCTGTAAAATGGGTATAATAATAATATAATAATCTTCTAGCGTTGAGAGGATTAAACAAGATAGGTCATGAAAAGTGCTTAGCTTTGTTCCCAGCACATAGAAAGTTCTCCGTACATGGGAGCGACTATATGACAAGAGTTTTACTTGACCCATACCGAGCCCAGGAGATGAAGCCTAGAAGTGGGAGCTATAAGCAAGTCAGCACAGTAAGTGTTGTATATCCTTCATGAAGAGGAGTTCGGCCACCGCACATTGGCAACTGCTCTTTTATTCTCTTAAACTCTTAGAAGCCGCTGCACGACCAGGCCATTGGTACTTCTGGCCACTATTCATGTCCTTGGCCCGTCCTCCCAGGCCACAGTGACTTTATCATACACTTCAAGGTGATACAGGACTTCTGCTCCTCCTTAATGGCTGCTGATCATGAACTTCTGTTTTCTCCCCCATTTTTTCCCCTCCTTGGTTCCAAACTTGCTGTTGACAGCCAGTTTGAGATGCTTGTGTGACACTTTGGCACTGTCTGCGGCACTATTATGTGTGTAGGACACCATTTATAGGCACCTCTGTTCACAGAACATGGACTTACGTCCAAAGAGATCATGCCAGAGTAAGACACAGATGGGTAAGTACCCTCAAACCAGGAGACGTTGTCGACCGACAGAGTGCCGTCGAGATGGTGCTGAGTATTTTTAGTATAAAGATGTTTGGGGGTGAGCAGGGCCCGGGCGGGATAGAGAACCAAAACAGGAGCCTGTCCTCAGCCATGTGCAAAAGCAGAGAGTTTCCCCAGAACGTGACTCACTTTAGAAAAAGATCCCAAATTCAAATAAAACTGGGGAACGCTGCACAAACCTTAGAGCTATTAGGATGCCGAAGACTCAGAAAAGTCCTGAAAATGAATCCTTCTGACTTCGTGTAACCCACACTTTCTGGAATGATTGGACTGCAAAACAATTTTTTTGTGTGTGAGCAATAAATAGAAAGTTCCACCAATTTTCCCCTTCTGGGCATTTCCTGTCACACTCCATTCTGGTCAGATGGTTGTCCTTCTCCCAGACCTTGATCTTTAGGGTTACAATCCTTATAATTAATACACATGACTTCCACCTCTAGCCCCAAATAACTACTGTTTTAATCATGTTTTTATTTGTTAGACCAAGCTCCTTTCTCTTTGGGTCTCAGGCACATTCTGGTGATCACTAATTCCATTAATCCACTTAGCTATGACTTTACAGATAGGATTTCTTGTACCAACAGCCCATACATTTTATTTCTTGGAGCAGTACAGTCCAGTGGAATTTTTTGTGATGAGGAAAATGCTCTTTTTCTCTCTCTCTCTGCTAGGTCCCACACTCCAGCCACTAGCCACACATGGCTACTGAGCACTTTGAATGTGTAGATAGTGCCACTGAATTTTTAGTGGAGCTGAATTTTTAACTTTATTTAGTTTTAGTTATTATTATTTCTATTAAAAATTTTTAAAATTTATTTGTTTTTATTTGTTTTTGAGACAGATCATGACTAGGAGAGGGGCAAAGAGAGAGGGAGACACAGAATCTGAAGCAAGCTCCAGGCTCCGAGCTGTCAGCACAGAGCTCGATGTGGGACTTGAACTCATGGACTATGAGATCATGACCTGAGCTGAAGTCAGACGCTTAACTGACTGAGCCACCCAGGAGCCCCTATTTTTTTTTTTTTTTTTAATTTTAGGGAGAGAGAGTATGTGAGTGGAGGAGGGGTCAGAGGGAGAGAGAGAGGGAGAGAGAGCATGTGCTACATTGGGGAGGGACAGGGAAAGAGAGTCCCAAGCATGTTCTGCACTGCCAACATGGAGCCTGACCCGGGGCTCGATCCCACGACCCTGGGATCTCGACCTGAGCCGAAATCAAGAGTAAGATGCTCAACTGACTGAGCCACCCAGGCGGCCTACTTGGGTTTAGCTAACTTACATTTACGTGGCCACCCATGGATAATGGCTGTCACATGGGACAGCACAGTCTAAGTGGGTCTTGTATGGAAGGACGTAAGAGGAAGGAAGTCACGTCAACGAGGTAAAGCCCCAAGGGCTCCCACCGCGCATAAAACTTTGTTGATCACCAAACATCTCTTCAAAATACATCATGTTGAATATTTTTTCCGATGAGCTTTTTGTGCGATTCTTAATAACAACAAAACAGATAGTTTGGGGTGTGTTATGGAGGAAAAGCACAATTTAAGCGTAGCCCACGAAACCGCTTTGTGGAAAGACTAGCATCAGAGACAGAAAGGAAGGTTTGGAAAGACACGCTTTACATAATGATGGAAAAATTGGAAATAACCTCCAGGGATATTCAGTTTGGATCAACTCGGATGTAAAATCAACCTTCAACTGTTCCAGTAGAAAAAGCCAAAACTGGAAAATAAAACATCTGTAGGACTACAATACCTGCCTGTGTCCTGTGGTCCATCTCCACACCGCCTCCGGTTTGGTAAGACTATGACACAGGCTCCTTGGTGGTCACAAAAGCCACCTCACGCCTAGTCCCTGGGGCATTTAGATCTCCCCTCAGGTTACAGTCATGGTTGTCCGTTCCTTGCCTAACAGTGAGAGACCCGGGTTAAGAATTATCCAGACAAAAGCAGAGACAAAGGTTATTTGGAAGGGCCTTGTTCCTCAAGATTCTCCACGTCTTCTCCCTGTGTCAGATCCGGCCTCTAGAAAGCACGGACTCAGCCCTGTCTCCTCGGCACCTCTGTCACTGAAGAAAACTGTGTTATGTCTCAGCCTTTATCGAAAGGCCACATAAGAAACAGCCATAAATAGAACTTCTGTGCGTTCTTTGTGAAGTACTGGGAGCTCATTGTCCGTGTGCCACTCATGACCCCACCCACTGGAGAAATTTCTCTCAGATTCCAGAGCCGAAAAGTGCTGGCTGCATGATGAACTGGAATGTTTCATCTTCTAAGGCTGTGAAAAATACGTTTTGTCTCCCTCTTCATCCCCGAGAAACTCAGGGCTATTTTCTTGCTTGTCTGTGGTCATCCCCTCAGTCCAAGATTTCTATTCTAATTCTTCCTTATCTTCCCTTGTTTATACTTGGTCATCTTATTTTTGTTACGTGAATCATTTTACTATGGTGGTAATTTTTAAGGCAGTCTGCACCACGTCCATTTTGGAAGGGGTGACAAGGATGTTCTTCCTTGACCAAACTCTACTGGGTTCCCCTAAACTTTTCGAAGAGGCCTCGAATATCTGGCTTCTGTGTTTGTCTCTGTGTCCTCCTATCTTGGCAAGAGCCCTGCTAGGTCAGTGTCGCTGTAATCCTGTCCCCTCCCTGGGGGTCAGTGAATTTCCACCCGCTGACCCTTACCCTTCCACTTCACCAGAAATTCCCACTCGCCTCTGCTGTATTCAGAACTGACCCCGGTTCTGTACTGAGATCTTTCTTTTACTTTGAGAGTCCTGAAGAAAAAGTTTTTACTGCTTTAACTACTATCCAGCTCTGGTTTTTCGTGAACAGAAGACAGAATATAAGTATAAATTCATATATACAGATTTGTCTTCCTTCCTTTGCTTCCCCAAAACATCAGAACACCTTCTTAAGAGTTTCTTCTTATTCTTTCCTAATTTTATTTTAGAGAGAGAGAGAGCGGGCAGAAGAGGGGCAGAGGGAGAGAGAGAGAGAGGGAGAATCTCAAGCAGACTCCACACTCAGCGCAGAGCCTGACTTGGGGCCCAATCCCACGACCCTGGGATCCCACCCTGAGCCGAAATCAAGAGTCGGACTCTCAGCTGATTGAACCACCCAGGTGCCTAAGAGTCCTTATTCTTAAACTCTGGGTTCAATGCTAAGAGTGCAATAAGTATGCGCCTTCTCTTTCACGGTGCTCTGCAAACCTCGGCCCGGCCCACCCCCCATCACAGTGTCACTGGGTGGGTGACGGACTACTCTACACCAACGTGTCAAGCGTCATCTCACATGATATCCCATTTTAGGAAATAGCCTTGGACCCCTTTCAGCCAAATGAGGACTCTGTGGCTCAGCCTTTCAAGAATTCTGTCTTCCATCACAGTATCAGCTAAAATCCTGCTCAACCAAAAGCCTTAATCAAGAGTGTCGTTTCCAGTAGGTATTCTTCCTTGTGAGCAAACGTCAGGAAAAAAAAGAAAGAAAGAAATTCACGTTGGCTGAAGGCATGTTTTGCTAGATTGAGTGGAAGGTAAATTCTCACTTCAGACTGGTTTATTTTCTTTAACATGCAATTAACTACAAATGTTTCAAAAGAACAACTTACATATTAAGCGATAAAGCATTCGCCAAAACATGTTTACATCTGGGGCAGTTCACCAAAAGGATCCAGACTTTTCCCTGAACCTCACGCCTCTGCATGAACATCTTTCTCGTTCTGCTTCTGATGATCAGAGCGAAACATGAAATATAATCTGCTTTCTAGATGACAAAAAGAAAGTTCTCAGCCCGAGATTTTGTAAATTCACATCTTCTCAGGAAGTCTGGATCTGCAAAATGAAACAAAGGGATGTGTTGCTGGCTGTCACTGGGACACTCGACTGATTCCAAGGGGCGTCCTGGTTCATAAAAGGTGAGCAACTGTTCATCTGGCTTAATGCAGACACATCTTATGGGACAGGGGTGGGTATTTTGAGACTCAGTTTCTAAACCCAGGCATTCCTTAGATAGTAGAAATCTAGCTGCCTTTCCAAAAAACGTTTGGGTTTTTTTTTGTCTTTTTAAAAAATTTGTTTAAATGTTTATTTATTTTTGAGAGAGAGAGGCACACACACAGAGAATGTGAGCGGGGGAGGAGCAGAGAGAGAGGGAAACACAGAATCCGAATAAGGCTCCAGGCTCTGAGCTGTCAGCACAGAGCCCAACTCATGAACCGCGAGATCATGACCTGAGCTGAGGTCGGATGGTTAACCGACTGAGCCAACCAAGGGCCCTTGGTTTTAATTTTAACTGAAAGCCCTGATTTACAGTTTCTCTTGTCTCAATGTGTTGAATCACTACTTGAGGGTAGTGCAGGTTATCTGGTATATATTGTAAATACACTTGTACAGCAAGTCATATGTGTATAAGGTAAATAAAATGCATCCTTCTGTTTATATCTCACCAAATACAGGCCGTACAGCAATAGTCTTTGAAGTAAGGTAACTGTCACGAGTGAAAAATTCAGGCATCTAAAGAGGTTAATAATATTGCAGTTACTGCCACGCAAAACTCAGAGTCAGCTGATAGGTTTCTCGGTGACCAAGCACAACCCAAGACTGTTTTCTTGTAAAATCTCTGAAACACATAGTTGACTTAAATGTCAAATATTCTTGGGGCGCCTGGGTGGCTTAATCGGTTAAGTGTCCTACTTTCGCTTAGGTCATGATCTCACGGTTCGTGGGTTCGAGCCCCGCGTCGGGCTCTGTGCTGACTGCCAGCTCAGAGCCTGGAGCCTGTTTCAGAGTCTGTGTCTCTCTCTCTCTCTGACCCTCCCCTGCTCACGTTGTCTCTCTCTCTCTCTCTCTCCTAGAAACAATAATAAAAAAAAAAGTCAAATATCCTTCAGAAAAGCCCCATAAAGCTTGATTCACTGGTAGCGTTGTTTTTACCCTCTGCCTGAAGAGTAGTAATACTGGTCTTACCACTCAGAACTTGCAGAACTATTACTGCAGCCTCAGCGGCTTGCGGACCAAAATTTTAGTCATGGGTCAACAGGGACAATAAAACTTCTGACTGTAGACTTCTTACCCTTGAAGCTATTTAGACAGGGCGGTGGGTGGGACCTGTACACACATGCGCAGAGGCCAAATGCTTCTAGAACCAGTATCATTCCTGTGAGAATCTGGGGAAGTCGCAACCACAGAATTTCAGTTAGAACATAACTTAATCGCCCAGCCGCTCCCTCATTTTACAGAGGAGGCAAACGAAACCCAAGAGTGGTGTATTTATTAGAGAGTAGTTGGCTAGATACCAAAAAAACGGAGATGAAGATTCTCTGCTTTTCCTTCTGTGCTGTGTTACATGTGTGTATTTTGGGGCTAGAATTTAGCTTGTGGTTACAGAATATGAAAGATCTGATGTCATCAAATTATCAAAGCATAGCACTAAAAATAAATCACAGCTGTTTAAACTATTAACTCAAGGGCCAGCGGGGAAGCATCGTAAAGAAAGGGTCAGGCCATTAACACCTGAATCCACTGAGCAGTTTTAACGTCACCAAGAAAGAAATACCCCCATATTGGACGTTTCCTGATGCCATGCAGTAGGAGATACACATTACCGCCTATAGAAAATTCTTGTCGGAAGAATCCAGCCAGAATCTGATTGAGGCTCTAGATGTAGATACCGGTTGGAGGGAAAGACAGAGGATAGAAGAGTGTATTAAACTCACCACAGGGACACAACTGGCCAAATCCAGACTGAAAAATTCTACAGAATGGATGACCCAGTTTCCTCAACAACAACAAAATAATAAGAAGAATAGAGAAAGAAATCAGAAAAGAGAGAGGGAGGATTTTTATACATTAAAAGAAACGTAAGAGATCTTAATCAAATGTAACCTGCACCTTGACTATCTCTTGATTCAAACAAACGAAAATGACAAAAGACTTTTATAGGACAATCAAGGAAATTTGAACACTGGCTGGTGTTAGATGATATCAAATTTCTATTCTTACTACTTTTATGTGTGTATCTTTTAGAGATACAAGCAGAAGTATTTACAGATTAAATAACATAATGTCTGGGATTTGCTTTGAAGTTCTCTACCCAGGGACTGGGGCATGGGCTGTATAGATGAAAGAGGATTTGATCCATGTTGGTAATTGTTGAAGCCGAGTGACAGATATGCATCACACTCTTCTCTCTACTTCTGTGAATGTTTGAAAGTCTTTGTTAAAAAGGTGAAAATTAAAATGAAACCAAGATAAACATAATACGTATGATAGACTGTACACATACATTCTGCTGCCATTTTTTTTTTTGTAGGATCAAAAGGATCATTTAGTCTGTGATGTTTCTATTTAAAGTGATAGTCCTACATCTTTACTGAACAGCATCCAAACATTGCTGGATGGGTCGTATCTCTGGCAGGTGTCTATTCTGCACTTTGTGTCATAACAATCCTTCAGCCTCTATGTCCCTCCCTGTGAAGCTCCTGATGGGCAGAGACGATTATCTTCCTCTCCCTGGTCCATAGAACAGTGTTTGATGTGTGCCCAATAAAGAACTGGATGGTCAGGAGAAGCATTTTTGTCATTTGCCACCGTAATCACAGTTTTATTTATGTTGACGTGCAAATCTGTCTTTGGTGGTGGTGACATCATTGTGCCCTTAATGAAAATGGAAAACAGTGTTAAAAAGAATCAGAAAAGAGTAATCCAATCCTCTTCTATGGCTCCCCACTTTCTGCCCACCAACCTTTGATTTCTAAGCTTTCCTTCTGAAGAATCACTTTAGCAAATCATTATTATGTATCTGGCTTGGAACTTTTCCAGATTTCCAATCTTACTTAAGCTGAAATTCTTTAAATCAAGATACTTGTACAAAGTGTTCCCAAAACTTCTGAATATATTCCCCCCTCACCGGTCATAAACAAAACTCTGATTCGATGCATGGGAAAAGAAGCTCTGATCACTCATTTAGGACATTGTTCAAGTACCAGTCACATAAGCCTTTCCTAGTCAGCTACCCGAAACCCTTCATTTCTTTCTTTCCATATTGGGTTTCAGAAACAATGAATTTACTTCTAGAAACTGAAAAGGAAAAAGAAGGTTGATGGAAAAGATAGCTACCAATACTTCTTCCCATTCCTGGCTGCTCCTTCCATCAAGGGGTGGAGTGAAACAGGGCTGACCTTGTAACTTATTTTGATCAATGGAATGTTCATTGTGGAAGGAAGGAAGAAATAAAAACAGCACAAATGATAGAGCAAATGGGATAAAAAAAATTAGCAACAGGTGAATCTGAGTCTGAGAAAAGGGTACACAAGTGTGCCTGATGCAATTTTTATATTTGTAATTATTTTCAAGTTGAAATTATATCCAAATAAAAAGTTAATAAATAGTTCTGTTCTGAGACAGAATCCATGAAACTATTTCTCCATCTTCAAACCTAAACTATCCCTTCCCATCTCTGAACACCTATAGCACTTTACTGTTTTGTTATTGGGTTTTTAAAGTTTATTTATTTATTTTGATAAAGTGCAAGCAGGGGAGGGACACAAAGAGAGATAGTGAGAGAGAGAGAGAGAGAGAGAGAGAGAGAAGAGAACCCCAAGCAGGCTCCACACTGTCAACACAGAGCCCACTGTGGGGCTTGATCTTAGGAATCATGAGATCATGACCTGAGTTGAAATCAAGAGGCAGACACTTAACCAACTGAGCCACCCAGGTGCCCTTTTTGTTATTGTTTTTTTAATCCTCACGTAGGGCCTGGTATTATTCCTCAGTTGCTTCAGGCTGATTTGGGTGTGGAAGACTGTATTTCGTGTTCTCAAGTACATGTGAAGTCCTCAGCACGCTCTTTGAAAGCCCCATGTCCTCGACAGAACATTGGCACAGTGTAGATGCCCTGTGTCGTCTGGAAAGGGCTCTGGCTGGGAGGATTCGGCTTCACACCCCTGCTCTGCCACTCAATTGCTGTGTGAACTTGGGCAAATTAATGTACATCTCTGTGTCTCCATTTTCCCATTTGTTTAGTTGGAGGACTATAGGTGGCTTTTGCTGTTTCAAAGCTACTGGTTAAAATTTTTTGCTTTATGTTGGAACAACTTTATATTCTAGGAGTAGCATGTAAAAAAAATAAAGAGTTAAAATACGAGTTTCTAGAGGCACCTGGGTGGCTCAGTCTGGTGAATCTGCTTACCATCCAAGATCCCAAAATTGTTATCATAATCCTTGATGTTATCTCTCTTATCCTCAAGGCAGCAGAGAAACTTTCAGAGAAGGAAAACATGTGTCTCCTGATAGAAGAAATTGGTGGCGTTGATAAAATTGAGGCTTTGCAACTTCATGAGAACCCACAGGTTGCCCTAACTGCTTTGAACATTATCGAGAATCATTTTTGTGAGGGAGAAGAAAGCGGTACAGTATTACCAGCCCTGGCGGAAGATTGTGAATTCTTAAACCAATTAACAAAAGATTACCAAGGCCCCATGACTTCTAAACCAAGGACCACACCCTAATGGGTAACTTCTTTAAGAAGCTTCTAGATCTTGGCATGCCACAGGTGTAAAGATTTTAAACTGAATGTTAATAAAATTTTCAACACACACACAAAAAAACTTGATTTTGGTTCAAGTCATGCATGGTCTCACAGTTCGTGAGTTTGAGCCCCACATAGGGCTCTGTGCTGACAGGTCCAGGGCCTGCCTGGGATTCTCTCTCTCCCCCTTTCTCTGCTCCTCCGTGACTGTGCTCTCATTCTCTCTCTCAAAAATAAATAAACATTAAAAAACTGTTTAAAAATATGAGTCTCTATGTATTAAAAAAGTGCTTTATAGCGTATC